AAAAATGTGTTTGAGATATTTCGTAAGCTGACAGTCGTGTTTCGAATTCTAGCCATTATGTCGACAATTAGACATTTTCGGACTGAATGGGCCCCAGGTTCGGCTTCATTTTTGCAATCTTGAAACATACATGGTAACTAAAAATTAAATGCATTTTGAATGATGATTCATTCGTTTCATTGCCAAAAAATCAGGTTGAAGAAATTATTTTTTCTGGGTGTAACACTTCTAATGTCACTGCTTAATACTCGTTGTGCTATGACCTTGAACCTTTCATGAGTCAAATTATGACAAAAAGAAAACGCGTCTACTAAACTTCTTTAAAACATTATTTTTTAAATTCATTGTAGGTCACAGCTTCGACTATTGTAAGATTGTTTGAACGGTTTGCTTGTCTATTATCTGTTGACTTTGGTTGTATTTTTCATTACTTTGCTTTTTCAAAATATGAGTATCTTAGAAGTTAATTAAAAGTTACGCAGTCGGACTAACGTATTATTAAATATGCACAATGACGAATATTTTATGAATTTGCGACATAATATCATTGTACGAAGAAACAGATTTGTGTATTATGACTAATTACAGCGGTTTTAAAAATAGAATGTGATTCTACGTATAACGCGAATGAACTGTCAAGAGGATGGTGAGGAAATTCCAGAGAGATAATAGCTTTCTTGATTATCTGAATGATCATTTGCGGTATATTTTTGAAGAAAAATGCCGTCAAGCAGGTTGACACTTCCGTCATAAGTTCAGCACAAGTTAAACCCTCTGAGTCAAGTCAGTCACATACAATTACGAGGGTGCTCTGGATAGTTACTGACGTCAACGTGAAGATGGCAGCACTCGTAAATAAAAGCTAGTGAATTTCGTTGTTCACCTGTATGACAGTTACTCGCCAAAGTTTTGGACGCGCAGTTTCTTATGCAACAGTAGTTTGAGTGTATCGTGTATCAAGCTTTCATTAAATATTTGTTTTTGAATCAAAGATGAGTTGGATTTTGTGTATGGGGACTGCATCATCATTCACCACTCAACTAGCAAAGTAGTTGTTTAAGCTTTTGGTAAAAGAACCGTTCAGCCATAAAAGCTCTCTATTGTTGTTGCCTGAACACCAACATGCTGGCTTAATGTTGTGTGGAATGCAAATTTGCTTTCTGCAACATATTTGCTCTAAAGTGAGGTGTTTAAAATATTCTTATAGCATAGTTATACAACACCTTATAGGGCAAATTTTTAACTGTTGCATAAACGTTTATACAACTATTTTATACGGCATATTTGCACGTTAGTCAAAATGGTTGTGTTGTGGCATCCATGGTAACGTTTATAAAACAAACCCGAGCCTTGTTGTTTTGCTGTGCAATTTACTACTTTAGCCAACAAATTGCTTCCAACGGAAGCACTTATACAACTGTTGTTTAGTAACTGTTAAAGGCTGTACATGTATGCTAAATATGTTGGTATACAACTTCATCATAACCTAACTTTCTGCTGTCATATTTTTATTAAAATGCCATAACCAATGTTTTAAGACAAACAACGCATGTATATTGGTTCAAAATGTTTTATCAACTGTTCAAACAGAAGATATAGATCTGTTACAAATTTTGGGTGAATCATTCGACTCTGTCGGTATTTCATTTCAGACATTTGTCAAATTGTTGTATAACACCTGCAGGCAACACCAAAATATTCTAATCACCTAAAGACAACATGGACGATGCCATGATTATACACAACCACCCGCCATATTGGGCAAACATTTATTCGTCTATTTAGTATTAAATAATTATGTTTCAGTTCGAAATTGCAGATATAAAGATTAGTGTAATTGTGTCTAAATATAGGATTTGTGGAAGATTTAACGCAGATAATTTCAGTTTTCCATCTTAAAAATCTAGACATACTTTTGATCATTATCAAAATATGAATCAAATATGATGCCCGTAGAAATTGCGTAACTAATTTGCACGATAATCACAATAAAATTTGCTGCGCAAGTAATTCAATAGCCCTATGTCACAGTGTAGAAGTTTATCATATACCTGTGTACGAAATTGACAATGGCCGATATGTAAGTAAACAAGATGACTGTAATGTGTTAGTTATATATTCTTCTTCGTCTATACAATACATAAGAAATAGTTTGGTTGCAATAAAGTAGAATCACGTAACCTAACAGTTGCATAGTTGACAAAAACTGAATCTTGCACTGACGCAAATGTCCTATAGCGGCTGCAAGAGGCTTACACTTTTGTTGTATAACTGTTAGCCAGCAGCCCTTATACAACCTCTTAAATGACTGAAGTGTCCTATTAGTTGTGCCCATTCCGCTTGTATAGCAGTTCTAAGAGGGTTTTGCTAATGTTCTTACAGTATACAATGCTGTTTAAGGAATACTAAATAATCATTCTTGGAACTCTATTAGGAGTGACAATTGTTAGTTGGGCAGCTATCAAGTAATGATGCGTAGTTTAATCGATTAAAATAACTCGCAAGTCTATCCCAAAAAGCAGTCGCCATCACTTTCCCAGCCGAAAAAAAAAGTTTTTGGTTTTTTTGGAGCCGGTTCCCACTTTGCAGTCCACTGTATGGACTGTATTTTTGTTTCGAACGTATAATGGAGTATCCGAGTTTCATATACAGTAATTAATCGGATTTATTGCGCCTATACTGCGCCCACACAGCGTTGGAAATGTTCATTCGAACACGTTTTTGGTGTAACAGCTTTCTCATGCCTAAAGGTTGATTTAATATGTGACAAACACGTTCTTTTGACACGTTCATAACCTCTGCTATTAATTCGACGATCGTCTAGCACAGAGTTCCCCAAACTTTTTTGTGTCGTAGCCCCCTTGCCATGTTTTTCGTGTTGGGTAGACCCCCTACTTACCTGATATTGATTTCCTGTAAATTTCTAACTGTAGTGAAGTTTAGTGTTAAAAACTTAAAGTAAAAACACATGTTAATTTATACATTTATTAATTGAATTTAAATTAAAACTACTAAAAATAAAATTTTGTATCTGTTATGTAAAATATACGTAACATTAAATAAACAGGTGTCTGACCAATAAGTGCCCGCATTGGGAATAAGTGCCCGCATAAAAAAAATAAGAGGGATAAAATAAAAAAAAGTGAAAAATAATAAAAAAAAAAGTTTTTTACTTAAAATAGTACAATAAGCGAGTTCGTTTATTAATTATAACATAAACGTATATTCTACAATAATTTCACTGTTAGTTTGATTACATTCCGCTTCTTATACGTTTAAGTTATCTAAAAATAGGCAAAAAATCCTTGAATTTTCAGAATATTTAAAAAAAATTCTATAAAGGGGGATCGTTAAAAAAATCAATGTGGGCACTTATTCCCAATGCGGGCATTTATTGGTCAGACACCAATAAACATAAAATAAACTATAAATAAAATAACATAAGCAGTAAGTCAATATTTTTAGTGAGAAGGATGAACCTGATGCTTTAATAATAAATTATCAACATTTGGCGTCAATTTTGTAAGGGTTAATCTTAAATCTCCTCGGCTAATGATGTCCAGTCTGTTTCTTTTTTTCGTCAGGAGATTGGTAACAGCGCTGAACCCCCTTTCCACTAGGTATGACGATAGAAAGGAAATTAAAAATTTCCTCGCTATATTCCATAATACGGGATAAGTAACGGGTATGTTGTTTTGCAGCCAGAATTGCTGATATCCGTTTTTAAACTGAACCTTAAGTTCTTCGTTTGTACTTAGTTCAGTTAGTTCCTCTTGTATTATGACATTCGTTTCTTCTTTGTCACCATATGGATTAATTATCCACGGTGGTATTACCATAGTCAAAATATCCTCAAACCTAGATTCAAAATGTGAATAGAGGGCATTTAAATGTCGAACGTAAGTTGAAACGTCGTCTTCCTGGCAGCTTGTCTGTGACAAATTGGGGAACTGAGAAAATTCGCCCCGTCCAATATTTTGCTTCATTAGTTTAACTCTGGCAAGAAACGCTGATAAGATGGACTTTGTTTTAATCAAATTTAAACTGTCGCCTTGTAATTGCAAATTAACCATATTAAATTTTGTAAACAAATCTGTTAAATAAGCGATGTCTGTTTTCCTCTTCATTAAATTTTCTTTTAAAATTTCATCTTTAGTATCCAGAAATTCTAAACTAGTCTCAAAAAGTGCAAAAAGTCTTCTCAAACATAAGCCTTTCGACAGCCAGCGTACTTCAGTGTGAAGGAGTAATTGATGAAAGTGTTCGTCATTTTCTTCACACAACTGCGCCAATAACCGCGTATTCAACGCGTTGCTTCGGATTCGGTTTACTGCATCAATGACTAAATGAAGTGATTCATGCAATCTAACACTCAAATTTTTAGCAACTAAATGTTGTCGATGGATGACGCAATGTATTGCTAACACCCCTGACACATTTTGTTTTAAATAGCTTATAAATCCACGATAACGTCCAACCATGGCAGGTGCTCCATCTGTAGCTACTGATATTATATTTGATAAAGGAATTGCTTTTTCAATGAAGTAATCCTTCAAAACATGAAATATTGATTCACCTTTAGTGTCGGTTATCAAAGTTCTTGCGAAGAGCAGTTCTTCGTAGATTTCTTGATTCATAATAAAACGAACATATGCCAGTAATAATGCTGCATTATCAGGTAAAGTTGACTCGTCCAGTTGTATAGAGAAATTGGTCGTTTGCAAATAATTACATAAGAAGCTTTCAATATCAGAACTCATTTCATCAATACGTCTTTCAACAGTATTGTTGCTTAAGGGAATTTTTTAAATGATATCAGATGCAGGTTTGTGTAAAACAGTTTTTAAAACTTCTTCAACGGCTGGCAAAATTAACTTATCTCCGATAGTATGCGGTTTTCCGGATTTTGCTATAAGTAACGAGATATTGTAAGACGCCCGCCAACCATCATCATTTCTTTGTGACGTCGAAGCGAACATTCTGTCCAGTGTAGGTCTCTTCTAAAATTTATCTTTGAGTATTTGAAAGTATTTCAAATCTTTCTCTGTTTTATCAGGGTGGCATCTTCTCAGATGATCTTGCAGTTTAGATGGTTTCATAGCGTCATTGCCCAAAATTTTGTTGCATAAAAGGCACATAGGCGATTGTTTGTCCGGCAATGATGGAATGAAGCCAAATTTCAAATAATCAACACTGTACTGTCTACATTTCTTTTTAGATTCGGACATGGCATCAGTCATCTGTGGGCAAAATTAAATTATTTAAATAAGACAGCAAATCCAGCAGCTGTATATTAAAAATATTTTTTGATTTTTCCGAAAACATTCCATAATTCGAACATCTTCTTGCAACAATTAGCTCGAATTACGGAGATTGCACTGTAATTATATTACCGATTGCTAAAACTTTCAAAAAGAAACTATTGATGAGTACTCGTGTAATTTTGCATGATTGAATAGTTAACCACTAATAACTAAAGTCTTGATTGGCGTAATTTATCTATCTTTGCTAGCTACGAGTACAAAACTAAAATTTAATAAAAAATAATGTACTTACTTTTCTCCAGCACTCTCAAACAAAATAACACCGACTCACTATAATTTGTGTGATATACAATCTGTTTATATTTTTTAAAATATTTTCTTAGCACTTTCCTTTTCAAGATTCAGGAAACGAATAAACGTATTTGTCCCACATTCGTATTTATAGAGTGTAAGGTAGCGCAGCTCTGAGACTGCGACTCTCAGGTTTTTACAAGTTCTAAATGTATTGCGACCACGAAGCGAATACCAACATCCTACAACTTACACAATTTTATAAACATATATAATAAATTTTTTACTTCATAGGTACTTTTATAAATAAATATATATAATATATATAAATAAATAGATACTATCAGTGTATGTGTTGAGATCCACTATCGTGGACCCCCATATTCATTTCATAGACCCCAAATATTTTTTTTCGCTGACGTAGACCCCTTGCAGGTTGTCATAGACCCCTAGGCGTCGATATAGACCACTTTGGGAATCAATGGTCTAGCACCATTTGCAACTTTGGCGATGTTTTCGGCGGTAGTAGCAGTTTTTGGACGTCCCGAACGTTCATCGTCTCCCAAGCTCTTGCGGTCACGTTTCAATCCAGCTGCCCAAAAGTTCACTGTGTTAAATGATAGTACAGAGTCCCCATACACAGAAGCCAACTCATCTTTTATTTGTATAGGCGTATTGCCTTTCAAAAACAAATATTTAATGACAGCTCGATACACGATACACTCACGTCAACTCACAAGTCTTCGTTCCAACAAACCCGTGTACCGTACAGTGAACACTAAAAACGTACAGCGCATGCTCGTGACGGTTTACTGTACGGTACACGGGTTTGTTGGAACGAAGCCTCAAACGACTGCGCGTACAAAACTTTGGTGAGTAACTGTCATACCGATGAACAACGAAATTCACTAGCTTTTATTTACGAGTGCTGCCATCTTCACGTTGACGTCAGAAATTATTCGGAGCACCCTCGTAATTGTATGTGACTGACTTGATCGGTTTAATCTCTCTCTATTGTATGTGTTCGTAACTATTTTTTGTTCTCAGAGGGTTTAACTTGTGCTGAACTTATGACGGAAGTGTCAACTTGCTTGACGGCATTTTTCTTCAAAAATATACCGCAAATGATCATTCAGCTAATCAAGAAAGCTATATCTCTCTGGAATTTCCTCACCATCCTCTTGACAGTTTATTCGCGTTATACGTAGAATCACATTCTATTTTTAAAACCGCTGTAATTAGTCATAATACACAAATCTGTTTCTTCGTACAATGATATTATGTCGCAAATTCATAAAATATTCGTCATTGCGCATATTTAATAATACGTTAGTCCGACTGCGTAACTTTTATTTAACTTCTAAGATACCCATATTTTGAAAAAGCAAAGTAATGAAAAATACGACCAAAGTCAACAGATAATAGACAAGCAAACCGTTCAAACAATCTTACAATAGTCAAAGCTGCGACCTACAATGAATTTAAAAAATAAGGTTTTAAAGAAGTTTAGTAGACGCGTTTTCTTTTTGTCATAATTTGACTCGTGAAAGGTTCAAGGTCATAGCGCAACGAGTATTAAGCAGTGACATTAGAAGTGTTACACCCAGAAAAAATAATTTCTTCAACCTGATTTTTTGGCAATGAAACGAATGAATCATCATTCAAAATGCATTTAATTTTCAGTTACCATGTATGTTTCAAGACTGCAAAAATGAAGCCGAACCTGGGGCCCATTCAGTCCGAAAATGTCTAGTTTTTGACATAATGGCTAGAATTCGAAACACGACTGTAAGCTTACGAAATATCTCAAACACATTTTTGCATGCGAGTCCAACCCTGTAGCACACAAAACCTTTCCAGAAGGTTCACAAGGCTGCTTAGTGTCACTCAGCGCTACGGCCCTTACGCCTGTTTATATTACACATTCCATGCCTTCTCTGGGTACTTGTTCCCAGGATAAAATTTCTTAAAGATACGGGCGAGGCTGGCGATGCAGTTCAATTATTGCGTGGAGGAGATCGCTTCTGCGACCAAGTAGTGCGCTTTGTGGACTTGATTACAGTGTTGATGTGCAATTGGGTGTCGTGTGAAAGGTGAGCAATCACTGAGTATTTCCTTTATTCTGCTGTACTGCATGGATTGATAACTATAACCCTTTTGTATTCATAATCATGAATGTCGTAAGCCATATTTATATAAGAAGCTTTGATCGTATAGCCCTAGTTATAAACATACTTTGAGCATATTCATATTTACAAAGATGCTTTGATTACATATCCGTAATTATAACGAGGCTCTGATCATATATCCACATTTATAAAGATGTTTTGAGCATATATCCACATTTATAAAGATGCTTGGATCATATATTCATATTTCATTGGCTTACGGACTCAATAATTGCGGATTAGGATAGGGAAGTTAGGTGGCTCATACAGGGATGACGCCTCCAGTTTCTGGAGGTTGTTATGGGACTTTCAGTGCTGGACTGCTGGGTTTAGGTGGTTATGTTAATTACTGCTCGGTTTTCTCTACCAGGGGAAACGTCGGAACGCTTGGGATGTTGATACGGTGGCCTTTACCCGAAGTGGCGTCCTAGGTCTCATCTCATCTTCTCTTGGTAATCGCTGGCATCTGAATGTATCTCATGGCAGGGTCTGTGAAGGGATTGTTACTTTAATGATAGTTATCTCGCTCGGTTATATCTGGTTCAGGGATAACGTCGGAGGTTTGGGATATTGACACAGCAACGTGGTATCCCGGTTCCTGGACTCTCTTTTTTGTAACAATCGTTAAATTCAGCATATCTGTCTATACGCCTGGATATCACATAGGGTGTGTGTGTCCCAGGGGGAGGGGGTGCCCCCGTTCTTAGGGTCTGAGGATTGGTACCACTGCGGATAATTAATGTAATCCTAAGGTAGTGCATGTTATGAGTCGGTTGAATATGGGAGGTACTCAAGTCATTTTTCTATAAATAGATATTGGCCCCGACAATCCGATCGTATCGCCCTTATCGCTTGCCAAAGGAGGATAACTCGTTGCCGTTCCGTCACCAAGTAAGTGGCTTTAATATTATCCTGACATTGTTGCCCATATCGAATTGTTCACGTACTGCTGTTGAAGTAAACATCAAATGGTATAGAGTGGTACTTCGATCGCTTTGTGGTTTTCACATTTATCGTTATGTTTCTAATATTATCATCTCGTTCTTATCCTACATTATCAATATTAGTTTAGTTTTATAGTTTAATGTCATATTACTGATAACACTGATCAACAGCCAGAAAATATCCTAAATAAAATCAAAAAAATATTACCATTTTTAATGTGCTAAAACCGGAATGAAACTTATTTTTTCAATATTAGCTCAAGTTTTAGAGATACGGTAATTATATGTGTTCCTGCTGTGACAGTGTTAATATACTGTAATTCACATGGCTGGCAGCGTTCATGCAAGATGTCTCGAAAGGGTGTAAACAATCCAGATCAGTTTTGTTACGTGTGTGGTGATGTGACTTTTGCGTCTCAGAGACGGTCTATTACTCCACTAATAACAAAGGCATATCAGCTTTATTTCGGTTGTAAACTAGGTGATCAAGACAAACAGTGGGCACCCCACATCTGCTGTAATACATGTGCTTCAAGTCTGAGGAGCTGGTTAAATGGCAAAAAACGGTCTATGCGCTTTGCTGTCCCAATGGTTTGGAGAGAGCCTACAAATCATATTAATGATTGTTACTTTTGCATGGTACCTTGTGTTGAACAAGCCACAGGTATGTCCAAGAAAAAAAAATCGGTTATTAACTACCCAAACATACCATCTGCGATGAGACCTGTGCCTCACAGTGACGAAAATCCTATTCCAAAACCCCCAGAATCCTACACTTGCGAATCAGAAAACGAATCAGATCATGGCGATCAAGTGATTCGTCAGAAAGAAGATATGCCATCAACGTCAAGAGATCCTGATTTTATACCGAGCACGTCATGCCACCAACCGCACAAAATAACACAGTCAGAATTAAATGATCTTGTAAGAGATTTAGAACTTCCAAAATGTAAGGCAGAGTTACTTGGATCAAGACTGCAGCAGTGGAACTTGTTAGAAGACGATGTTTCGGTATGTGTTTTTCGTAAACGCCACAAAGACTTAGAACCATTTTTCAATATGGAGAATAACTTGGTTTTCTGCAGTAACATTAACGGCTTACTGGCGGCTTTAAATATAAACTATAACCCAGAAGATTGGAGATTGTTTATAGACAGTTCAACATTGAGTTTAAAGGCAGTGTTATTGCATATTGGAACTATTTTACCATCTCTTCCTGTAGGGTATGCAGTTCACATGAAAGAATCATATGACATTATGAAGTACCTATTGACATGCATAAAATACGATGAGCGCCAATGGCATATTTGTGGCGATTTGAAAGTTGTTGCACTTTTACTTGGGATGCAGCTAGGCTACACAAAGTTTTGCTGTTTTTTGTGTGAATGGGACAGTCGGGCAAAGGCACTTCATTACACCAGACAAAACTGGCCTGTTCGTCAATTCCTAGAGCCAGGTCAAACAAATGTACAGCATATGCCATTAGTAGATTCGAAAAAAATTTTATTACCACCACTGCATATCAAGTTGGGCCTAATGTAAAACTTTGTCAAGGCATTAGATATAGATGGGTCAGCTTTTCAATACGTGCGTCAGAAATTTCCAAGACTAAGTGAGGCAAAGGTTAAAGAAGGTATTTTTGTTGGGCCAGAGATTCGAAATATTTTGAAAGATACACAGTTTGAAAACACTTTAACAGGTATTAAAAAAACTGCTTGGAATGATTTCCGTCTGGTGGTCACTAATTTCTTGGGAAATAGAAAAGCTGACAACTATAAAACCCTTGTCAAAAATATGCTGTCATCGTATCAAAAGATGGGCTGTAATATGTCTCTTAAGATACATTTCCTACACTCACACATGGACTTTTTTCCTGACTATTGCGGAGCCGTAAGTGATGAGCACGGCGAACGTTTTCATCAGGATATTTCAACAATGGAAAAAAGGTACCAGAGAAAGTGGAATCCTTCCATGCTTGCAGACTACTGTTGGACTCTTGGTAGAGATGCTCCAGAAACGATCCATAAAAGAACAGCAAAAAGACAGCGCATATAGTGGTTCTTATAAGTATATGAATCTTGTTACTTTTTTTAATATATCCTTAAAAATAAAAAGTTTTTTTCTAAACCGCAACTAATTTTTTTATTTCATTGTCATTTTTGGATTCAGCGCCCCAAAATTAACAAAGAAGTGCACTTTTCCCACAAGATACAATTAAAAAACTAAAATTTGTTGTCCATTGTAATAATTTTGATAACGTGATGTCCAAACAATGTATTATAAAAGAAAAAAAAATATTTTGTAACCTTGAAAAAATAAATAAACTTGAAATTAGATACTATTTTGTGTAAGGGTACAATTTACGTCCAAAAAATTACCCTCGTACGATTGGAAATGTACTCCATAAATAGCGTTTGTACCTGATTTTCCGAGTGCGACATTCCAAGATGCATAGCATAGCGAGCAAGAGACGAGAGAGCATTCGCGAAACCGGAGAGACAGTGATATCCTTGATACAACGAGTCGTTACGTCACGCATGTTTGACCTTATTCCAAGAGTTGAAGCTGGTTCAAGGCTTAACCGCTGCTAACATAAACACGCCAATTAGTTTTTATTATTCATTAATAAACACAAAGTGTGTTGATTTTTTTAAGAGGATAGCACGGGCGCGAAATGGATATTGGTTTGATTCGGTAGTGATTTATTATGTCTGGGTTTTCGATCTTTGTCATGCCGACTCTACAGTGTATGGTATTACGAGCCCAAATAATTAAATATACGGACACCTTTACATTTTGTACAAATGGATCCATGAATTAACTGCTGCTTTCTCAAAATGTATGGCAAACACGTATAATGGTAGATAAGTATAATAAACATCTATTTTCAATAGCGGCACCTCTGTTTTCAAATGTATAGGGTTGTCCAATAGGGACACAGGAAAGTAAACGTCAATTTGACATAGACGCCATCTTTGTTTTCTGTCACCGACATGTCATTTTGTTAGTTGAATGTTTACCATTGATCGCTATTGAGTCGTATTCGATTGAAGACCGCATTAAAGTTATTCAAGACCAGTACAAAAATGGTGCAAAAATAAAAAACACGTTTCGCGCGCTTCATGAACATTTCGGTCGCAACAACCGCCCAAACGAAACAACCATCGGTCGTCTGGTGCGTAAATGCGAGGCAACAGGTTCTGTGGCAAATCTGCCAGGCTCTGGCCGGCCAAGGAGCGTTCGCACACCGGAAAATATTGCTGTTGTGAAGGAGAGTGTGAGAGACGATCCGAAACAATCAACAACACGTCGATCCCAAGAATTGGGCATTTCGAGAACCAGTTTGCTCCGCATTCTCCACAAGGATTTGAATGTACACGCCTACAAGATTCAATTGACGCATGAGCTGCGTCGGGCCGACCATTTTTCGCGCCGAACTTCTCAGATTGGCTCCTTGAACACCGCCAAATTGATGCCAATTTTTCATCAAAAATCATGTTCAGCGACGAAGCGCATTTCACTTTGAATGGGACGGTAAACAAGCAAAACTGCCGCATCTGGGCGAACGAAAATCCCCGTGAGTATCAAGAGCAGTCGATGCATCCTCAAAAAGTGACTGTGTGGTGTGCATTGTGGTCAAAAGGCATCATCGGACCTTACTTTTTCGAAAATGCGGCCGGGGACGCCGTTACCGTCAATTCTGAGCGATATCACGTGATGACTATTTTTTGCCGCAACTGGAAGGAATGGATATGGACGATGTTTATTTCCAACAAGACGGTGCAACATGCCACACAACCAACGTCAATATCCATCGATTGCAGTCCTTCTTCGGTGATCGCGTGATTTCGCGCAGAGGAAATGTGCCATGGCCACCAAGATCGTGCGATTTGACTCCCTCGGACTTCTTTTTATGGGGATATTTGAAAAGCAAAGTCTACGTCAACAAACCAGCCACCCTCCAAGAACTCAAAAACAACATCATTGCCGAGATAAATGCCATAGAACCGACCATGTTGCAAAATGTCATTGAAAATTTCGACCATCGCGTGGACGTCTGTAAATCCAGTCGTGGTGAACATTTGAGCGATACTATTTTTCATACATAAATGGTATAAATGAACCTTCAAAATAAAGTACCCAACTTGATTTGAATATCAATCTTTCTTGTTTTAATATGCGTTTACTTTCCTGCGTCCGTTTTGGACAACCCTTTATAATGGTAGATAAGTATAATAAACACCTATTTTCAATATCGGCACCTCTGTTTTCAAATGTATTACTTTAGAATCACTGAAATTATGTATCTCGAAATATGACAACTAAATGTTCGGACAGGTCAAGAAACATATCATTAGAGATAAGCAGAGATCAGCAGGCTTTGCAAAAACATATGAGCGCCTACCTGTATCACAATACTGAATGTCAACATCGTTGGAAGTAGGAGGAACTTGCAAGTTTTAGCGCACAGGCTCACCCGACTATGATGTCGATAATGACCTCGACGAGGAACAGCACATCGTACGATCCGTCAGGAGATATTTTAGGGTCCACGGCGTTAGCGGAGGCACTGAATCCTCTTCAGAAGATTCGTCTGAGGCTCCACATAGCACATTAGCGGAACCCTCCGAGTTTCCACGTTGCACACCAGCGGAGCTCCTAAGTCATATTAAAGACCTCAAGGTGCGTAAAGCACCCGGGGAGGATCAAATCACCAACAAAGCACTGAAGTTGCATTCACTCAAGGCTTTGACTTATCTGGTGACAATGATCAATGCAATGCTCAGAACTCATTACTTTCCTAAGGCGTGGAAGGTCGCTGAAGTCATCATGATCCCAAAGAAGGCAGGTTCGATATTCCCCCAGGATTACCGTCCCATTAGTTCTGCTGTCAGCTCCTTCTAAGCTCACTGAAAAGGTGATTTATTGTCACCTTGAGAGTTTCTCGTCAGGTAACCATGTGATATTCGCATATCATTAAGGAACACCCTGTCTACTTTCGGTACAAGTTACTCAACACTGACAATTCCTTTTATCTCAATTTAGGCTTTTATTTGTCTTGGGGTTTTAAACGGATCTTTAGACGAAATTACTTTTATTAATCTAACTGATTTAGCATTTAGTTTTCTAGGCCGACCACTTCTCTTAGAGGCTTCCAAGATACCTTTTTGATTATACTTATCCAATATTGCCCAAACTGCTTTACGCTTCAGCTTCAAATTTTTGGCAATGTCGACTTGACGTTGACCTTCTTTGTATAACTCAATGATCTTAGTTTTCACATCGAAAGAAATTTCTCTCCAGTTGACAAGAAGGGCTAAATACGTCTCTGCCCGAAATCATACCGCTCCAACAGAAAATAAAATCAGCTGATGCGCTACCGAGCAGACGCGGAAACCACATTGATTATCTTACACTTAATGGCACATCTTCTAACAAGGAAGGTAAAATGTTGCGTAAAAAGTCTAGGTATTGCATTCCGTCCAATCGATTTGGGATAATAAATGGTCCAATGAGCATACCGTTCACCATGCCAGCCCAAGCATTCACCGAAAATATGTTTGTTGAAAATGTGCCCGACGGACAGCGTGCGGATTTTCTACTAACCAAACATGAGTGTTGCGTAAGTTATTCACGCCATTACGCGTGAACGTAGATTCGTCTGTCACCAATATGCACTTCAAAAAGTCCGGATCATTGTCATGTTGATGCAACAACCACTCACAAAACCGCACTTTTGCTGGAAAATCGTCAGGTTGAAGGGCTTGTACACGTTGGACGTGAAACGGATACAGCCCCTCTTCACGCAGCGTTTGCCACACTTTAGTTTTTGATACTTGCACTTCTCTAGCCACGTCTCTAGTGCTTGTTGAGGGATTCTCGTCTACGCGATTACCTCTACACGCGTGACCGTAACCGTCGGTTGAAGGTTGCATACTGACCTGACACACTGACTCCGGCCCAGTTCCGTCGTCGGGTTGAGCCAGTGACCTTGTACCAGTCGGTGATGTCGCGGCTACAGGACGGTATTCAGATATTTTTGATGTTGCAGAGCCCTTTATCTCGGTTCCCTTGAGACATTGGTGTATATGGTACTAAGAAAAATTGCTTATGTTTTCAAGATATACACGTCGTGTAAAGGAAAACCCCAACTTTGCGGACACCCTATATACTTTTGTCCATTACTGTATGTGTGCCTTTCGAAAATAACACACCTCAAAAACGGTTCTTTGGAAAATAAATGAGGGTCATTTTCGTTTTCAGCGAACTCAAATTAGTCTAAAAAACGTCTTGTCGCGGTACATGTTTGAGAGCAAAAGTTGTAAACTATCGATCCGACAAAATCTATTTCGGAGGAGAGAAAATAAAGCCCGTGTAAACACGGCCAGATTGCCTTCCTGGTCACAGTTAATATCCTTCTCGCTGAAATTAACTTTTCTTCTTCCAGATAATCAGAGGAGAATCCGTGCAAATGACAGGGCGTTCAACTCGCAGTTTCGATATGCGGTAAGTTTACAAATAGCAGCATTTTAATTTCCACGATTAGAAAGCTATTTTTCGCCGTCAGTCAATCTACTTAGTTGCCTTGATTTTGTCGAGAGACGATGCGAAAATGTATGTCTGGTTCTAAGGTATTTTAAGATTGTTTTCTTAACTAATGAAGTATACGGATGAATATACTGTATTTTGGATTGCAAAGTGCCGTCAAAAAATCTTATTTGCCATTTTGTGGAATTTCGAAAAAAAAACGGGATAATGAACTTTCAATCGCAATTACAGCTAAACGGCTGTGATTTTTTTTCTGAGATCAGCTAAATGGTTGGTTTTCGTGAGAAATCTCTTCCATCCCTCAACTTTGGAGGACGGTAAAAAAATTGAGGTTGTATACTAAGTGACATATAAATCCGAACACCCAGTTTAAATGGTTTTATTTTAATAAAAGTTGGTGAATGTATTTATCTTACTGTAAATAACAAGTTAAAAAATTTTCAGCCTTATCAGTTGGACATTCCGGTTTTTATACTGTTTTTTTTTAATTCACTAACGCTCTAAAAATGAATATTTCAGCCGCAGTAAAGAATCAACGTTGGCGGATTTTGGTTCTTGACATCCTTTACGATCGGTTACGATGCCTAGAGTACGGAGACCTGTACGATTTCGTCAACTTAGTGAGTTTGATAGGGGCCGTATAGTGGGACTTCGGGAAGCTGGACTTTCTTTTCGGGCAATTGCAGTTAGAGTGCAAAGAAGTGTAGACACTGTGCTTAGGTGTTGTCAGGCATGGCTTCGAGAAGGCGGTACGCAAAGAGCAAGGGGCACTGGACGCCGCCGTAGAACAATAAATACCGTGAAGATCGCCGCCTAAGATTATTGGCCTTAAGCGACCGTTTCTCCACTACCAGGTCCATTGCAAATGAATGGTTTGCAGAACACGGAAGACCTATTGGCATGCGAAGTGTTACCGACGAATGAGAAGTTTTGGCTTGTTTTCATACCGGCCACACTGGGTCCTCCTTTAACTCGAGAACACCGACGTAATCGCCTTGAGTGGTGCAGACAACGGTCACTCTGGGATCAGGAATGGAACAGTATTGTCTTTAGTGACGAGTCTCGATTTTGTTTAGGCATGCACGATGGTCGTGCCAGGGTTAGAAGGCGACGTGGTGAAAGGAGGAATCCACAGTTTTTTGTTGAAAGACATGTACATCACACTGTTGGAGTTATGGTTTGGGGTGCTATAGCTTATGGTTCCAGGTCACCTTTAATCTTCATCAGAGGTAACATGAACGCGCAGCGTTATATCCACGAAGTTCTAGAACCCCATCTTTTACCCTATCTTGACACCCTGGCAGATCCAACTTTCCAACAAGATAATGCCCGACCACATGTTGCAAGAGTCACAACAGACTTCTTTCAAGATAATGATGTCACATTGTTACCATGGCCACCAAGATCTCCCGACTTATCCCCAATTGAGCACATGTGGGATATGATGGGTAGGAGATTGCTCAATTTGCAACGTCCTCCTCAGACTCTAGAAGCACTTCGAGAGGAGTTGGTGGTTGCCTGGAATGAGATACCACAGGAGGACATTGACCACCTGATCAGAAGCATGCCTAGGCGCCTTTGGAGAATGCGTAGCACATCAGGGTGCATCCACACATTATTAAAGGTCAAAGGGCTTTAAAGCAGTGCAATCATTTTGAAATTTTTACCATTTACTTATTATGCTTCATTAAGTACTTATACAAAATTTTATTAAAATAAAACCATTTAAACTGGGTGTTCGGATTTATATGTCACTTAGAATATTTGCACTATAAGTAGTCGTAAAAATTGAGAAACACGGGCGCAGTAATATAGCAAATCATATCTTGGATAGTTGAAAAAAGTTCACTTATCCGACTCCCGATTTATTACGCTCATTTCGAACATGAAAGGGCGTAAATGATAGTGTCTGGTACTTTGGATCGTGTGAAGAATTTCGTACTGGTTTATTGTTTGTGAGGTTTTTATAAGTTGTGTTTCTCGCGCGTCAAAATGCCTTGCTTTGCGCATCTCCCCAATTGAAGACCGGAAATGGTCACAGTCCCGCATGGTCCACACCGCAAGCGGTACGCATCCCATCCTCGTGGTACCACAATGAAATCGCTTCGGTTAGCTGCGTTAGCTAAAATGAAAGAAAAGGCAAGGGCGGCAAAAGCAAGGTAGGCGAATACCTGATTCAAATTGACATATCCAAATTTACTTTTTATACAGTCATTGCACGAATTGAAAGCAATCATAAAAACTTTACGTAAAATTCGACCACGCTGTCCTACTGGAATATCTGTTTGAAACTCTTACTTAGAGTCATTTTCACCAAGTGGCATAAAATTCACATTTTATGCTACAGATATTTTGTAATTATTTGTGATGTAATAAGCGTATGTCTGATTTTTGGAATGTGGTCAAAAAACGAAAAGTAGACATTGTATGGTTGTATCCTAGTCCTAGACAAAAACCCGTTTTTATGACTGCTTGCTTAGACAGAAAATACAGTTTTTGAAACTGGACAAGAGACATTTTTCGGATTAGAAATTTGAAATGGATTTCAGAACGATGAAATTGCGGATTATAAAAAATTTAGTGACTTGGGAAAATGGAAAGTAATCAAGTGCGCGGTGAAGAAGACACCTAGATATGATTGATTTGATAGTCTCATTAGTTTTTATACAGGGTGGTTCAACGAATAGATCGCACCCCATTTGTGACTCTCCTGGTATGTTTTTGGAAAAACGCTCGGACGCGTCAATTTCGATTTCTAGGGGGACGTCTTTTCAGCTATAGCCGTACAATACAGGGCGATCGAAAAATAAGATATTGCGTTACACTTTAAATTTACTATGGAAACCTCCATTTTTTTTTAATTTTTAGATTCTAGAAATAACAAAACTGTATTACCAAAATGGGAGCATTTCAAGAGCTACTGCCCGGTTGTTTAATGCGTTAGATCCAGACCATCAATGGAAACCCTATTTTTTCAATTTTTAGATTCTCCATGATGTTTTCAGTAACTTTTGTATAATAATGTTTATACCTATCTTCAATGTTGTGTGAAGCGATTTGAGTTTATAACCAAATTCTAGAAATTGTGATAATATCGTAAGAATAATAATCAATATAGTTCCCATAGTAACAAAACTTTACTTTAAAATAAAAAACAATCCTCCGAGTATTAAAAAAAAACAAAAAACAACTTACAGTTTACACGCAGATTAAAGTTAAAGTAAAAATTAATTTGCTATAAAGAGGTAGGTCAATGTGGTAATAAGGTCTGAAAGTGGTATCAATTTACCTCCATGCATTACTAAAGATTTCGAATCTATTCCTCACATTTTCAAGCAGAATTTCCCAACCTCTTTTTTTGTTATTGAGGCTCCCCCGACTATAAATTATATTTTCATGCCTCCCTTTACTTTTTCAATAAATACAAAAAAACGCACATTATATACATAGGTACAAAGACTTTTATTTTAATTCTAATAAAGAAACTTTAAAAGTTTAAATAAACTAATAAATGTTTTTTTAATCGAAAAACTTGAACAAAATAAGAGTAGGTACTAATGATTGCATGTTCTGTACCAGTTGGTTGATTCTAGGTTATGTTTTTGACGATTTCGCTGTTTAGTTTTAATTAAAACTAGAGCAGAAAAGCATGTCTCACATAAGTAAGTTGAAGGAAAAAGAACTATATTCGTAAAGCAAGAGAGGCAAGTGTCTAATTAACAGGCAATCTTTTGATCCAAAATTTCTCCAATGTTAAAAGATGAAAGTCATCTTTCATGGACGAATCAGCCTTTTCATTTCTAGAAATTCTGCCTGAACTTCTTCTGGTAATTGTGACACATCGACAACAAATGGATTTCTTGTCATGTGCCATATTGGTGTAAGAGATGATATGAAGATATGGTAATAGAAATATAACGATGAGCGTAAAAACAACAATACCACCTTACAAGCGTTCGAAGTACTACCCTGTACCTTCTCCCTTTTATTACGAGAGTAGTACATACACAACTTAATAAGGGCCTCAATGTCAGGATAATTTTAAATCCACTTACTTGGTGACGTTAACGACAGGGCAGTTGTTCTTCCTTGGGGAGAGATACGGTCGATAGAACTGCGTTGTCGGGGCCAAGCCTATTTTTGGGAAAAACTTTTTGAGTACCTTCCATATTCTACCGACTCATGACATGCACAACGTCTATTCATTATGTTAATTAGGTGTCTCGATAGTGACCACAAAACAATATAATAATGGCCATGATATATCTCAATTATATTATTATAAATTCCAATACATTGCATGGGGGAACGGTAGCTTCCTACCGCATGGAAGTCACACCCACGTCCATGATCAGGGGAACGGTAGCTTCATACCGCTTGGAAGTCAGGCCTGATATGGAAATACCTTGTACGGGGGAACGGTAGCTTCCTACCGCATGGAAGTCACCACCGTGTCCAAACTCGGGGAAACGGTAGCTTCCTACCGCATGGAAGTCACGCCCGTGTCCAAACTCGGGGAAACGGTAGCTTCATACCGCATGGAAGTCACGCCTGATATGGAAATACCTTGCACGGGGGAACGGTAGCTTCCTACCGCATGGAAGTCACCACCGTGTCCAAACTCGGGGAAACGGTAGCTTCCTACCGCATGGAAGTCACGCCTGATAGGGAAATACCTTGCACGGGGGAACGGTAGCTTCCTACCGCATGGAAGTCACGCCTGATATGGAAATACCTTGCATGGGGGAACGGTAGCTTCCTACCGCATGGAAGTCACGCCTGTTATGGAAATACCTTGCACGGGGAACGGTAGCTTCCTACCGCATGGAAGTCACGCCAGTGTCCAAACTCGGGGAACGGTAGCTTCCTACCGCATGGAAGTCACGCCCGTGTCCAAACTCGGGGAAACGGTAGCTTCATACCGCATGGAAGTCACGTCTGATATGGAAATACCTTGC